CGGCATGTGCCGTCGGAGAGTGGACCGTGCTCGAGTTGTGATACGCGGAGCTGCCGCCAGCGGCAGCGGCGGTGGCGGCGGTGCCGCCGCCTGTGGCCGTGACAGTACTGCTAGTGTGGTACGAGGGAAAGATTGGCGGCAGCGTCACCAACGGCGGCGGCGGCGGCCGTGGTTCCGCGCCGCCGTCCGCGCCGCCGCTGTCAGCCCACGCCGGCGCCGGCGCCGCTGCCGGTTCTATCTTTGTTGCTGCCGTGCTGCCGACGCCGCCGGCGCCGATGCCGACGGCACCGCTCACGGTGACCTCAGCATTGGAGTTAGCGGCGGCGGCGGATGCATTGGCGGCGGCGGTAGCGCCACTGCCGCTGACGGTGCGCTTGGGCGGCGAAGACGGCCGTATAGAACCCGTGTTTCGGGGCCCCGCCCCCGACACACCCATGGCCACCGCCACCGCCGCCTCAAGCTGCTCCTCCGCTTCCACATGTCCGCCCGCCAGGCGCCGGATCATGGCGTACCTGCATGTCGTACAATCAAATGACGCCGCACGTCAAGACCTTTGACCGCCGTACGACAAGTACGTCACAAGGCATATCAGACCACCCCTTTCGTGCATTACACCGCATTCAGACTCGCGGCCCTTAGTTTCCCTCCCTTAAGGACGAAGAAAAGGATAACAGACGTATTTGCCGTACGAAGTAACGCCAACGCCGTACTGCCTTCCCAACCCACACACTCCGTCCAAGGCATTGAGAACGCTAAGGACATACATACGCACACCCTTCTTGCCGCCCAGACCACTGAGCTTTTCGTCCCCCTTGCGCGTCGGCTTTCCTCTTTCCCCCCCAAAACCCCCCAAACTCCGAAACCAAACTCACCGTTCCACGGCATCCAGTAACGCCAACACGCCAATACCCCCCGCCCTCGCCCCCTTCCGAGCCTCCGCAACATCCCCGGCGGAGGCGTCGAACAATGCGCCGCGAACCGCCGCACTCAGCTGCGGCAGCGCCGCCACGACGCCGTACGGCGAGATTGTCGTACCACTTGCGTGCTGCGATCCGTTTCCAGATCCAGCCGCATCGTGGGATGTACGAATCATGTCCTCTAGGAGTTTGGCTCGGTCTTCGGGTAACGAGGCGGCGCAACGTGACAGGTCGATTCTGCAAAGGGGGACGGTGAAGTAGTTGGGCGATTGGTTAATTGTTGGCTGGTTCGTTAATTCATTTTTGAAGAGTCACAGTTTACTAATCATTTACATACATACATACACATATATCAGACACACAGCGAATGAATCTCTGCTCAGCGGTTCGCAAGCAAGCAATGTCCTGAACTCTAATTTTTAAATCCGATTTGAATTTTACCACCCCGCTGATCCTTCCATGACAATCGTCATGTCAATAGTCAGCCAGCCTAGATCTAGGTTCCCTACCGTTTGGCAGTTGGCAGTTTAGTTCGGTTGTAACCGAAAAACGCACACAACGCACTAGGGTACTCTTGCGGTAAACACACACAAACACACACACACACGCGCGTCCGTACTCTCTGTAAGAAGCCCTGCAAGAAATTCCCACACAGCCACAGATAAGATAACCCATGCCTGATTGCATGTACGGCGTCCGTACACAATACACAAGTGCCGTACACTCTGCCGTACAACCTGAAGAACGAGTCCGCAAAGGCGTCCCAGTCGGTTCCCGCGTTCAGCATCGTCAGCTTTGCCGGGCTTGCTCCAGGAAGCGCACAAACCGCCAACCAAATCTGCAAAAAACGAAACACCAAAAAAACCGTCAAACACGAGCCAACAACAACACAACCAACTTGCGATAAATAAAAAGAAACATAACAAATATATACAATTACATCGATACGATTATCAAGTGTGAGATTATTATTTTTTATTTTTTTTATTTTTTTTATTTTTTATTACTATTATTATTATTGTTGTTGTTTGTTTATATTATTATTATTATTATTATTATTATTATTATTATTATTATTATTATTATTATTATTATTATTATTACATCTGGTCCGGGAAAAGGAGGGAACAGCAGTAAGCAGAACTTTGAAAAGTCGTGTGGAGGGAGAAAAGCCCTAGAACCCGGGGGCGGGAGGCCGGCGCGTGGGGAAGTGGGGTGTGGGGAGACCGGCGCGGGGTATTGACGGGCGAAGAGGCGATGAGAGGCAGCAGGGCGGAAGACCGAGGCCAACCGGCCAGGACCCCTCCAAGATTCACACTCAGCCCGTTACAGCCCTCCCAGGTCACATCCAGTCGAAGCAATAATAGCAATAATAAATTAAGCAAAATTAACCCTTCATCAGAACCAATACAAATGTACTTATTGCGTTCTCTCCGTACATTTTAGACTACCGTAAACTGTACGATTGTGTCATATTTCCGTACACCCGTACCTCGTACAGACACCACAGGCGTGTGAGAGAGTTGGCCATGGGGTCCAGAACCAAAAGGGCCTTACGTGCCGTGGCCATGATTTGCCTTGAGGGGGAAATTATACGGGGAGGAGAGCAGTACGGCAGATTGGAGTACGGCAGGGGATAGGGGAAACTGGGGTACGGCAGGGAGGGGGGGAAGGGGCAGGGGCGCCGTACGTCTATGGTGAACCAACAGACGCCGGCGCGGGGTTTTCAAAAGAGAGGGACAGAAGTGAGGTTGGTAGCGGGACCTTTCATTAACCCCCTTGTACACTGACGTACAAGCGTCGTACAACTGCCGTACTTACTTGCAGTGCGGCAGTTCCTTCTTGTCTTTCCTGCCTGGGTGGTGGTTAGCGGCCACGACGTCTAGCCACACGTATGTAGAGGAGGGGGTCCTGGTAAACGTGTGTGTGGGGGGAGGGCGTGTGTGTGTGTGTGTGTGTGTGTGTTTTTGGGGGGGGAGAGAGGGGTTAGATTAGGGTTGGGTTGGGTTGGGAGTTGGGGGTTGAGGTTGGGTGGGGAATGGACATGGGGCCGCTCTCGGGGGGAGGAGATGCAGAAGGTGAAAAGATGCAGAAAACACGCCGTACATGGAAAAAAACTGTTGTCAGTCCAGAACTGAATCCCGGCGCGCGTGTGTGTTTTCCTTCCATGAGAAGGGATTGAAACAACCGGCAATGCCCAGCACGTTTTTTTGTGTATATGCGTGTGCGCATAATCTCTTTAACTGCTCTGTAGCAACGAAAAACAAGTCAACGAAAAACCTAAACAAGAAAAAACGCCAAACTTTAGGAAAATAACAAATTTCACTGACAAAACGCACCTTCCGTACAAACAGACAGGCAAACTAGCAGGGGGACGTACTTGAGTCTATTTCTTAACATATTCCTATTTTTTTCTATAACTTCTACTAAATATATTTAGGTTTTTGTAATTTATGTCGCTCCCTCCGCTCCTGCTTTTTAGTCAATATCTCAATAATTCTTTCATGACACATCAACACAGAGGCACTCACTTATTAATAACACCACAATATTCCCGAAGCGCCGAAACCAACGACATGAAATTTCCCGACCAAGAGTGGATGACGTAATGGTCGGGTGGTCCAAACCACGTACGGTCCGGGTGCAGTACGGGCAAGCCGTTGTACGACGCACGTGCTCCCGGTGTCGAGGGGGCGGGAGAGGCCTCCGGGGGCTCCCCCAATACAATCTTCACTCGAGCCATCACCAAATCTAAAAACCTGCGCGCATGGTTTCAGGGTTTTAAGCGTTTTAAGTTTTTTCTTAGTCAGGGAATTTGAAAAAAAACATCTACATCTACAGTTACATTATCGTGCGGGTTCTAGTTGTGCAGAATTAGAGGGGGGTTTTAAGTTAAACGAGCTGGGTTTTAGTGGTTTTTACTGGTTGGAATGGTGGCAGTAGCATCCGTTGAACCCGTTAGGGCCCCTAAAACCCGTTAAAACCCGTTGAAACCCTAAAACCCGAGGACTTCAGGCTCTGTGGGTTCTGGTGTGCTCTGTGCATCTCTATCCCTCCCCCCCCCCTTCCCTCCCTCCTCACTCGCCTGCACTGTGAGCCCCGTGTAGGCGGCATCAGCCAGCTGTCGAACACCTCCGCGGTTGTGGCGAACCGCGCGGTGGCGGGCAGCGCCTTCACCACCTCCATCAGGGCGGCCACGGAGATACCCACCTACAGCACAGCGATAAATGGGGTAGAGGGGAAAGGGGGGAGGGGGAAAATACACACACACACACGCAGCAGCAGCAGCAGCAACCAAGTTGTCAGCCGTGGTGAGAAAAAAGCGGCTCCCCCTCCCATCCCCCGGGGAAAAATGTATCGGATCCGTACCTGCAGCATCTTGGACGTATCGCCCATCAAGTACGGCCCCCCTTGCGACGTAGCAGGCTCGCCGTCGAGCGACGGCAGAGCGCTGCGAGCGCTGGTGCGCCGCCGCGAGCGAGTCTGCGCCTCCGTCAGCCCAGCATCACCGCCGCCGCCGCCGTCCCCGCTTGCGGCAGTGGCGGCGGCGGCGGCAGCGGCGGCAGCACCAGCGTTAACACTCGGCGTGCCCGTACTGGCCATTGGCTTAAACAACGATGAAGTGCCGGCCAGCGGCGTCGACGGTGCGCTTGGCAACATCGATGGCCGTACAGCGACTCTGGGCGGCGTGTCGGCCCCCGGCGCCTTGTTAACCGCCGACACCGCCGGCATTGCAGCAGCGGCGGCAGCGTCGCCGCCGCCGCCGTCACCATCCTCGCCGCCACCAACGCCGGAGCAATTCTGTCCCAAGTCCGAGTCCGATTTGGCCAAGACGCTGGTACGGCCGCCGCCGCCGCCGCCGCCGGCAATGGGTGCGGCCCCTTTGCCCCCCCCGTTCCCCCCGCCGGACCCATCGAGGCCCTCCCATTCATGACGTCAAATCTGGGGATCGGAAGGGAGGGCTTTCCGCCAGACTGCTTTAATTCGGTGACGGCGGCGGCGGAGGCCCAGGCGACCGACGGCCCGCCTTGGCTGCCGCCGTCGCCACCGTGCAAACAGGGCCCCCCTGACCCGTCATCCGCCCCCTTCGCTCGCCTTCATGTACAATTGCGTCGGAGGGGCGAATATTGACGGCCTAGAGGTGAGTGCGCTGCCGCCGCCGCCGCCACCGCCGCCGCCGCCGCCGCCGCCGCCACCGCCGCCGCCGCCGCCGCCGCCACCGCCGCCGCCGCCGCCGTCAGCGGCCGTGAGGACGCTGCGTCGCAAAAGTGGGGCCAGGACAGAAGATGACGTGGACAGCATATAGTACGGCGGCGGTCCCGGCTCCACTGCTTGTACGTCACCAACCGCCGTACGTATGGCGTCACCGTCGCCATCAGCTGACGTGCTTAGCACACGCCAGCCAGGCAACGGCCACGCGCTGTCGTACGGGTCACTGCCGCTGCCGCCGCCCTCTTCACCGAAGGTGCTGAAGCCCAGCGGCCCGCCGTCGGCGCCGCCGCCACCGTCACCTCCGTCACCCACCTTGGCGGCGCCGTCGCCGTCAATAGCCGTACCAAGTCCGATGGTGAGGAGCTGCACCAAGGGGCCGTGAGAGCTCGGCTCCGTCGGAGAGCCCCAGGGCGACCTTAGCGGAACGCCGCCGCCGCCGCCGCTGCCGAATAGGAACGCGCCGATGCTGGCGGACGATCCCGTGGCGGCGGCGCTGACGGGGGAGCCGCAACAGCGAGATGCCGTGAAGGCCGCACGCCTCCGCTGCAGTACTGCCGCCGCCGGCTCCGCCGTCACGCTCGACGGCGGTTTGTACGACAAGTTGCTGACGCCGCTGATGTGCATCCTAGGCCGCGGGCTAATCAAAAAGGGGTCCCAGGAGACGCTGACGGCGGAGGCGCCGCCACCGTTGTTCCCGACGGCGCCGTCGCCGCCTGACATCGCCAGCGCCATCATTCCGTTCACCACCAACGAGGCCTGCCGTACGGCACCAGGCGAGGGCAAGCCGCCATGCCCTGGCGTCGCCGCCGCCGGCGTCGAAACCCCGCTCCTTTCCTTCGACAGACCTCCTGCCCCATGGCCATGACCGTTGATAAAACCGCTACTGTTACCGTTACAGTTACCGTTGCTGTGGCCGTTGCTACCCGAGCTGCCAGATGTCGAGCGGCGCTGCCGGCGGCGGGGCGGGGCGGCCGCGGAGTACGGCGAGCGCATGAAGGACGCCGGTGGCCCCGGTGGCGGGTGGTACGTGGCCCGGCGCGACGACTTTCCTGTCGTACCTGCACGCGCGGCAAGGTACGACAAGCCATGAGATGCACGCAATGGACGGAGCTGTGCTACTGGCCTAGTTACCGCTCCGAAACCTGGTTTCTTTTTTGATCCTTTCCGGAGCCCCCTCCCTTAACCCCCTGTTTAGCCCCCAACCCCCATTCCCAATGAACTGCCCTTCCTGCACATCACCCCCCC